AAAGAAAGCCTAATAATTTCTTGTTATCCTAGAACAAATGTTTCCAGACCTTATTGGAATTGAAACAATTCGAATTAAATAAAACTATCATCTTCTGCGACTTTCCACAACAGATGTTTTAAAAATGCATGTTAATTCGACTAATTTATGTATTATTTAGTAATGCGATCTTGATTTTCTCGTTTTGGTAAAATAATACAGGGGTGAATTTTTTCGGATGAGGATATGTAATTGATGTTCAGTTCTCTTAAAGATACGTGGAAGTATGCAAAACATTTTGTAAGTAACATTATAAATCTTCAACTTATACAAGAAGCCTTTTATATAAACCTTTATTAGAAAACTAAACTAAAAGTAATAATATATAAATTGAATGAATATTTTATAATATAGATATGGTGAGGATCATTAATCTGTAAATTATAAATATTCCATCACCATAATTTATGTGAATTAAACCACTATTTAGTTTATGATATATATTGATCTTCACTCTACAAACTCTTCTTCATTACACTTGCTAGTCTCTCTTATTATTATGTTACGGGTATTTTTACTCATACATTGTCCCCTACCCCAAAGGATCCCGCGTTAAATAGAAAAGCCCTGGTAAAACCTTGACCAAGATAGATTAATTATCTTGGTAAATTAGTTTCATTAAAATATCTCTCCTACCTATATCCTTTACTCTCCCGAAGACTATAATCATAAAATCCATCACAGGCTCTACCATAAACTCTGGACAGCAAATCCTGGTCATGTATCAATCGGTCATCATTCACATGGTTCGCCTGGAACAGAATCTCCCCGACCCGGAAGGCCACTGCCAGGCAGCAGCCGCACCTCAAACAGGCCGACATTCCTCTGGAGAGGTCTGCACCATTGTCAGGCGAAATTTTTAACTTCAGATTCTCAACCGCGGGCAGAATTCGGACGTTGTTGAATAGAGGTTGTTCTAGGTAAAATTAAAAATAATATTTATGAATACCGATGTACTGTATTTATTCATCTGTTTTTGTTCTTACAATATTGATGTAAGTCACCTGGTATCGGATACCCAATAATTGTTTTATTTTATTAATTTTATTATATATTTTTATATCTTTTATATTGTCCAATATCAAATATTGAAACAACACTGCATACAAATATAAGAAACGTAAAAATATCTACTTAAAAATCTTTCTTTTTTTAAAATTATACATAAAGATTTCATTTAAATTTAATTTTATCATTATTAAGTTAGTTCAAAACTATATTATTAAATTATTTCAAAGATATCGTTCAAGGATTCCAAATCCAATAAGATTCTGTTTGAATCTTACAAGAATCTTATCACGACCATGATTCTTATCAGAATACTACAAGGCTGAAAGGTCAAAGAATTCAACTGATAATCCAAGTATTCTTGAAATATAGTAATTGAATTTTGTAAGAAGTAAACGAACAGATATGATTATTATTATATTATAGCCAATATGAATATTTTTATAGTTTTATTGGAAACTGCTCGATAAGGTTAAAGAATGTAATTCTAAAATAAACTACTAAAATTATCTAAAATTCAGTAATAATCTAAAATTATTACTATAATTAATTAATTACTGATTTTTGCAAAATTTGAACTTATCTGTATATTAATTTGTTAGATACAATTCTAATTACTTATTATAGAAATTAAATATTTATAATTTCTAGTATTTGTTTATAAAAATAGACAGGTGGAATTATTCGTAACGAAATTTTGAATGCAAAACTTTTAGTATAACATTCAAAAAAAAACTAATATCCTTTATGAATACTTGTATAAATTTTAAATATTTCAATTTTCTACTAAAAGACATGTTTTTCATCTTAGCCAAGATGGAAAATGGAAATATAAATAATCTTAATGTTTTACTTTCAAGGGTAATATACTGTACTAATATTACAAGGGTAAGTTTTTTTATTGTGAATGCTGCAAAATATTTAAATAGTTATTACCAAATTTAAAATATGTATATTTTTTATATTATTTTCATATTTCAGTCAGACAGGGATGCCTGGTATAAGAGATTATAAAACAATTTTTATATATACATTAGGGTGGTCCCTAATATAGATATTTTCCTTGCTCCCAAGGGCTCAATTGGTTCCAAATTGATAAAAAACAATTCTCTGAAAGTTTTAGCTTTTAATATTGTCTTTTAGATAGAGCGCAATTCTTTCTTCTGAAGTTATTGTCATCACTGTTTATCATTTTAATATTCTATTAAAAATAACAAGTTTTCCAGATTAGCCAAGATGGAAAATAAAAGTATAAACTAATCTCAATGTTTACTTTTTAAAATTTTAATATATTAAAACAATTATTACCATTTTAAAACTTAGAACATTAGTTGCATTTTTCTTTATAATTTTAATATTAAAATAATTACTTCCACAATCAAAATATTACAATAGTAAGTTTTTCTCAACCAATGGTCAATAAAATTGTAAATCTTATTTTTTACTAGAAAATTATTTTTTCTTATTTTACAAAATATTCAAGTCGTTGGCCACAACTGATTTAGTTAGATTATAAAATAATCCTTAGGTATAAATAGACCTACCTGAGTTATCTGGTTGGTCTTTGTACGAGTTGACCGTACATACAATTGGTGTTGATTTCGCACATACATCTTGAGGTAGATATGGAGAAGGATAATTGAGGACATTACTTCCCTCTTCTTTAAAATCTCTATTTTTAAGAAAAATTGTAACATTTAATAAACGAAATTTAATTTTAATTATGTAGATCTAACGAGACAGGCAAGTAGAAATTTATAAAATCATTATTGATATTCAAAGTTTAATCTTAGATATAGCGTGCAGCGCAACTTTAATTAATTTTTATAATTAATCCACTTCTCATAAGCCTATAATATTTTAAGGGATTTGGCTTGACTCTTAACTCTATCAACATACAAACTTTTATCAAAATTCCAGAAGATTAAACCTGAGGATATCCTTGTTAGTATTACTTTTTTGTAATCAGGTGGTATTATCTTTATAAATATTATTATTCATATTGACCTTTTAATGTTTCCACATTTAGTGTGTTCATCTTTGCAATATGTAATTTTAAAAAATGCAATGGTACAGAAAATATGAATAAATAAATACATTTATAAAATTAAATACTTAAATATATATTTAAAAAAATATGACAAATATAAAAGGATGAAACAAAATTGATCATATTTGACATAAATATTTAAAAAAAATATTTGTATTTTTGTATGTATGTATATATATATATATATATATATATATATATATATCCTTTTGCTTTTAGTTTTAGTACCTGCCTTTCATTTACCTGATGAAAATACAATATTTAGTATAACATCTGCTTCCAATATTTGTTTTATATAATTGTGGCAATCAAATTGACCACAATCATACCTTTTTTCTTGCTTCTTTTAAGAAATACTATTAGCAGATGTTTCTCATTTGTACATTAATTTTAATTTCTATTTATATATAAATCATTATAGTAATTGAATGAATTCGAAGTAATTGATTTGTGAACCATTGTTTGTCTGAAATAGATTTAATAAAGTGCAAATCAATAATATATTAATAATTGTATACAATGTGTATCTACAGATTAAGCTCCGACTGTTAATAATCTATATACATATATAGTTTATTATCTGCAACATATTCAATTTTTTTTATTATATAAATTTTTATCATGCCTCTTTTGATACTATTTTTTTTTAAATCTATTTCAAATTTTAATTTATATCATATTTTTAATTCTATTAAATTTGCACTCCCTAAAGATCCTAAAGTAACGTACTAGTTAGATTCATAAACAAGAGGAAATTATTTATTTTATTTAAAAATCAGTTTTTTGGCTTTGGTTTTGATGAGAGAAGTTGAAATAATAATAGAAT